TGTTACAACGTTTGGTGGCTCAACGTGGTTTGTAACGTTTATTGATGATTGTAATCGAATGACTTGGTTATGTTTGATGAAGTCTAAAAGTGAAGTTGGAGGACTATTTCAGAAATTCTGCAAAATGATTGAGACCCAGTACAAATCACAAGTTCAGGTAATGCGCACTGACAACGGAAGATAATATATGCAATTAGAACTTCAACATTTTTTAGTAGCCAAAGGAATTATTCATCAAAGATCTTGTCTAAATACTCCACAATAGAATGTGGTGGCAGAACGAAAGAACCGTCATCTATTGGAGGTGGTTCGAGCTGTACTGATTGGAGCTCACATGCCAACAATATATCGGGGAGAAGCTCTCACATATGCAGTATACACTATCAACCGAACACCGTCCAGGTCTCTTGAGTATAAAACACATTTTTAATCACTTATAGATGCAGTAGTAAGTCCTAAACTTGTTGAACTAACACATAGAGTTTTTGATTGTGTTGCTTATGTTCACTTACACAAGCATCAGAGAAGTAAGTTGTCTCCTAGAGCTGAAAGGTGTGTGTTCCTTGGCTATGCAGATCACCAGAAAGGATATCGATGCTACAATCCACAAACCAAACAAATGTTTACTACTATAGATGTAGTTTTCATGAAACCTTGATATATTTTTCCTTCAAGTCTGAAATTCAGGGGGAGAATTATGATGAAGTTCAGACTTTTGTTCCTCAAGAAATTGATATTGAGGTCAGATTGGAGAAAGAAAGTTACAAAGTTGTATCAGGAGATGATGAAAGTATGCAACAATGTTATGATCAACAACCACATAATGAGAAGATTTTGAGCATGTCGAGATCAAAAATTTGTCTGTTAATGCTGATGATATACCACACAAATCGTCCTCTCAAGAACCTAATACAAAAAAAAGAATTTTGTCATATCGTGTCACTAGATGTATCCCTAAGCCTACTTATGAACCAGTAAGACAAGATACCATATGAGTAATTATGTTTGTAACCAGAATTTGTCTAACTCAAATATCGCATTTATAAGTCAATTATCTACTGTATCTATTCCTAACAGTGTGCAAAAAGCTTTAGCTGACTCCAGGTGGAAGGATGTTATGAATGAGGAGATGAGATCCTTGCAAAGAAATAAAACATAAGAATTAGTAGATTGTCCAGTTGGAAAGAAACCAGTAAAATGCCGATGGGTGTATACTGTGAAATTTAATGCAGATGACACAATTAAGAGATTCAAAGTTAGATTAGTGGCAAAGGGGTACACAAGCATATGGAATAGATTACACTGAAACGTTTGCTCCCGTAGCCAAAATTTGTATAGTTTGAGTATTGTTATCTCTAGCTATAAACCTTGATTGGTCCTTACAACAATTTGACGTAAAAAATGTCTTCTTACACGGAGAATTGTCTAAAGAAGTTTATATGGAGCTACCAGAGGATGTGGGATCCCGAATACATATAGCAAGAATGTATGCAAGTTGAAGAAGTCATTGTATGGACTAAAACAATCGCCACGAGCATGGTTTGGTAGATTCACCAAGTCAATGTTTGCTTTTGGTTATCAACAGAGCAACCAAGGTCATACCTTGTTTATAAAGAAAAAGGAAGAAAAGATTACAATTCTTATTATTTATGTTGATGACATGATAGTTACAGGAAACGATCTAGAGGAACGCAAGGCATTGAAAGAGTACTTGGCAAAGGAATTCGAGATGAAGGATCTTGGTCCTTTGAAATATTTTCTTGGAATTGAGGTCTCAAGATCAAAGTCAGGTATTTTTCTTTCACAACGAAATTATGCATTAGATTTACTGAAAGAAACTGGAATGACAACATGGAAACCAACAAATTCTCCAATTGAAGAGGGATTGAAGTTGTGCATTGAAGAAGATCAAACTCCAACTAACAAAGGAAGATATCAGAGACTTGTAGGGAGATTGATGTATCTCTCACACACTAGGCCAGATTTAGCTTATGTTCTTAGTGTGGTTAGCCAGTTCATGCACAATCCAGGTGAAAAACACATTGATGTTGTTATACGAATTTTAAGGTAATAAAAACTGCTCCTGGAAAAGGATTTATGTTCAAGAAGAACTCCAACTACAAGGATGTGGTGGTTTATACTGATGCAGATTGGGCAGGTGCTCTTGATGATAAAAGATCAACATCTGGATACTTTACATTTGTAAGAGGTAATCTTGTCACATGGAAAAGCAAGAAGCAGAAAGTTGTAGCTAGATCTAGTGCAGAAGCTGAACTTAGAGGAATGGTTCTTGGACTTTGTGATGATTTATGACTCAGACTACTTCTCCAGGATTTAGGGTATGCACATACATGTCCCATTCAGTTGTATTGTGATAATAAAGTTGCGCGCGACATTGCTCACAACCCTGTCCAACATGATCGGATGAAACATGTAGAGGTTGATAGATTTTTCATCAATGAAAAGTTTGGTAAAAATATTCTGGAATTATCAAATATTCGATCTAAATATCAGCTGACAGACATTCTTACCAACGCTGTGACAAGTCAGATTTTTAGGAGATTATTGGACAAGTTGATAATGTATGACATCCATTTACCAACTTGAGGGGTAGTGTTGGGATAAAGATATTTGATTAGCTAAATTATAGGTTTGTATAATGGTACAAAATATTATATAATCGAATTTCCTTTATTTAGTCCCGATTTGTTGGAGTAAAATACTATAAAATCATAATATCTCGTATACAAAAATAATATAAATAAAAATTATAAAATAAATTCTATGTTTTCCAATTATGAATAAAACTTAAAGATGTTAAGAAATATTATCCATAAGATATTAAGAATAGGTTTGAAAAATAATTCTAGTGATATTGTTTTGATATCATTTATTTTTATTAACAATTAAATAATATATTAATGATAAACAAAAATGGCTTGATTTAAAAAAAAATCTAAGGATCAAATGTAAAATCGTGAAATATTGTGTAAATAATTATTATAAAGATTAATAAATTTATCATACATTTAATGTTTATGTTGTATAAAAATGATAACTTCCTTTTTTGTATTTTTGGAGTTAAAGATAAACAAATATAGATTGAAAGCAACAGGAGACTACAAAAATGAAGTACACAGATAAAGTCAAAAGGAATCTGGTTTTATGCGTTCCAAAAAATATATTTTGGATAATTATAATTTGTAATTCTCCTTTTAACTATAATTTATAATATATGAATAGATTTGGGTTAAAATTCAAATCAGTGGTTAAATTCTTAATGAATGATTTGGTTACATGGCTTTAAAAATATATTTTGATTACAAACTAGTTTTAAGGGCTTTAGCATATCAAATAAACAGCTTTTAACTAACAACAGTTTTAAATTTATTTTCTATAAAAATAATTTTTAAAACATATTTTATAATAAATTTGGACCATTTCAAAATAAATTTTGTTTACTATAAACAAGTCTTTTTAAATCTAATTACAAACTTGGTTTCAAATTAAATTTAGTTGTTTTTATACAAAATCAAACCATTAACATAATATTTGAATACACTCGTAATTTGCGTCATGATTTACCCTCCTAAGCCTAGATGAATAAGAATATAGTTTGGTATTAAAAAATTATCAGCATAAAATTTAAATATAATTTGATTTAATTTTTTAAAAATCTAAATTAAGGCAAATTAATATTTTGAAGTTTAATTTAGATGATTCTTTAATTTTGTTATATTATAAATTTATTAAACATATTATAATAAAATAATTTTTTTATAAAAATATATATTATAAAAATATCATATATAATTAATTGTAATATTAATAATTTTAATTTGTTTTTATATTTTTTTTATAATTTATTTAAAAAAGAATAATATATATTCTAAATTATAAAAAATTAATTGGTTCACTTACAATAAATATACTTTTATATTTTAATTTTAATAATATATATTATAATTTTATATTTATATTTTAATTTTAATAATATATATTATTGGTTCACTTGCAATAAATATAATTTTATATTTCAATTTTAAACTATAAGGGTTATTTCAAAAAAAAATAAAAATATATATATATATACCATTTTAATAAAATTCATCTTTAACTATAAATTATTAATAATATAACATTTAGTAAAAATTATAATATATAATAAAATGAGAAATATACAAATTTATTGAGAACGCACTTTTCATTTCCCGTTTCACTTGTTTATATTTATATAAAAATTATCTTACCGTGTAGATCCCCCTGGATATAAATAAAAGGTCATTTTGAAGTGTCCATGCCGGCGCCAACACTTGTTAGTTTTCGAACAGTGTATAAATATATTTCATGACACCAGCGGAGAAGTGTCCATGCCGGCGCCAACACCTATTCCCAACGCTAATGGCTTTTCTTGAGCAAGACGTAGGTCATGGTGGAGGACCCTTCCACGGACTCGATTGTTTGGAACCCTCCCGAGTTAGCCAGAGACCTTTTGCCCAAACACTTCAAGCACAATAACTTCTCCATCTTACGCCAGTTAAACACCTACTTAAGCAAACCCCTTCTTACTTTCGTTTTCACCTCAAGAACTGTACTTTACCAGTAATTATCAATTTGATTGGCCTTCCTCGAGTTAAAGGGGAAATAAATCCCCACCTATTTTCTCTTTTCAAATCTATGTTTATTCTGAGTCTTTCTTCCTTCTCCTTCTCCCACCCTTTTTTCACCAAATTTACGTTTTGTCTACGATCTCTCGCTCTACAGTCACCAATGTCCAACGTCGTGCGCCACCACCCTCAACATGATGCAGGTCCTTCAGCTTACCGTCAAGATGCTGGTCGAGCTCTCTAAGTCAAAGACTCCACCACTACGACACCAACGCGGTTGTCGTTGTTGCTGACACCCTACTCGAGCAATGCCTCCTCCTCTCTCCCACATCATCCACCCAACCGTGGTCTTAGATTCCCTTCACAAGGTCACTGTTAAGGTCATTCACCGTCATGGTTATCCCCTTGGAGCTCTCGGACCGTGACTTGCTGGGGAAGTCCGTCAACACCTCTCTCGTTAGTAAGATTGTGAGCCAAGCTCCTGACACCCATCGGTGTCGATGTTGTGTTGTGTTACGTATGTTTCGACTAACCTGCGTTTGCTATTTCGTGCCAAATCTTTTTTTTTTTTTTTTTTTTAATCTTGTTATTAAGCCCTTTCTTTACCAATTTTACTTGCTATTACTTTAATCACTATCAAATTCATTCTTTGTTTATTTATTGTTTGGTGACCCTTATTTCTAGGTGAATGGCCCAAAACTGAATCGGAGAATTGTTACGGAAAGAATCCGTTGGAATCTAAAGAGTTGTCTCGAACCGTAAGTTCCAACCACTGTGTCTTTCTATTAAGATTGTTTATGAAGGTGAAAAGACATTGGTTTTTTATTATGATTTTATATTATCCCAAAATTTGCATAAGGATTGCTCCCACTGCTTTGTTGGAATCTAAAGATTTGTCTCGAATCGTAAGTTCCAACCACTGTGTCTTTCTATTAAGATTGTTTATGAAAGTGAAAAGACATTGGTTTTTTATTATGATTTTATATTATCCCAAAATTTGCATAAGGATTGCTCCCACTGCTTTATTGAAATGTTCCGCTAGATTCTCTAATAATGGCCGAGGAGATATTTGGTCCATTGCTTCCTATCATCACAGTACGAGTACAAGGAACAAAATGAATAGTTTGTATGAGATTTTGAGCGTCAAATTCCATTTCAATATGACGCATCTTTGATCGCTTTTCTAAAAGGCTAATATGAATGTTGTGCTTCTTTAGCTTAGATAAGAGTCACACGTAACAACTCACTTAGAAAAGTATTCCGTAATTTTCAATTGTCATATAAACTGAGGGCTTTGAGTTCCATTTATTTCACAATTCAAGCTCAAATATCTCGCCCTAGTCCAAAATTCCAGTGGAATTAGGATTCTATCTCACCACAAGCCTTCTTGTAGTTCTCAGTAGTGATTTTAATTCAAGCTCAAATATCTCGCCCTAGTCCAAAATTCCAGTGGAATTAGGATTCTATCTCACCACAAGCCTTCTTGTAGTTCTCAGTAGTGATTTTTAAAGATCATATTCACAATCTCCCTCATTTCATCAGGTATGAATGTCCATACTTAATATAGTTTCAGAATGAGATTGTCGGTGGAGGAACGTCTCCCTATTTTTTATTTTTTAAGTCTTGGGAAAAGAAGGACCAAATCTGGAAAGATATTAATTTACTAGAATATTTTCTTCGGTTATAATTACATATGTAATAGAAATCTTGGGTTATAATTACATATGTAAATAGAAATGTGAAAATCGAAGCTTATTTAACAATACATTTGGACACAGTGGATGCAGGGGAAAATGCAGAACTATAGGCTTATTTGCTTCTCTCTTCTATTTGTTTATGAGTCCTGAAATAAATGGTAGCCATATGTATTGGGTGTAAATGCTCATGTCATTGATGATTAGTTTGTCCGTGCTATTTCAACTGTGTTATTTGATAATCAAACAGCAGGTGTTGGAAAATACTATGGTTTGTGGTGGCACTTTTTCTGTCCTGTGGTTTTACCTTCTACTCCTTCAACTTAATTTCTGTCAATGCTCAGAAATCTATTTTGTGCACTAGATAAAAAGTTGCAGCATGCCTATTATGAACAATTCACAGCATGTTTTTTTTTTTCAGATTCTATCTACACAAACGATAAAAAGTTGTATTTGCAATGTTGTTTATGGTATGAAACACTAACAGTTGCTTGTTAAAAGCAGTGGGCTGTAATAGGAGGTACAAACCTCTCCTTTAGACTAAATTCCATAAATGGATCTTCAATTTATCACTTTATCTGAAATGTGTATTATGTTTAGGTGATGATACAAAGATTGACGGTTGGGCAAGCTTTATTCCAACCATGTCTATTGGGAGCTCTGGAAACATTGGAGTGACACCTGATGCAACTTAATATCTCTTATTCTGGGTTGCTGTCTAATAATTGCACTTCTCAATATATCTTTCTTTTTATAGATTGCTGCCTTAACTGCTGCCTTTTCGTAATGATTTTCTGATGTACATATGTAAATGCTAGAAACTTTCTTGCCATTTCATTTAAAATCAGATGTTATAGCTTTACTTCTCATTGATTTAAGACAACATTAGCTTATATTGTTTCTTCAGTCTTGCTTCTAAATATGTGCTTGTCCGAGTTTTATTATTTAAAAATAATTAGTCCACCTGCCATATGTCCTGTGGTTTTACCTTCTACCCCTTCAACTTAATTCTGTTCAATGGTCAGAAATCTAATTGTGCACTAGATAGTTTTCTTTGATTTATTTATGCATGCCTATTATATTTTGTATTTGTAAACAATTCACAACATGATTTGTTTAGATTCTAACTAACACGAACAATTAAAAGTTGGATTCCCAATGTACTTTTCACACTTTTTATAGCATTTATAGTTTGTAATTCCTTTTGTTCAGCTCCTCTGTTGTGACATCTTTTACAACTTAATATTAATTAGTAACACTTATAAAAAAGAAAGTGAAAAGTAAAATAAATCAAACTTCTTCCATAAGTTAAAATCTCAACTTTTGGAAAATTAAGATAAGAAAGTTTCTATTACGTTAAAGAGCATTCATTTGATTGTATAGCCTTGATTATGTTGGTGAACTGTCCTTTTTCTTCCAATACTACAGGATTATAAGCAGCACCTCACAAGAGCTTGTTACCAAAGACCTGCATGGTGTGGAGTGGAAGTTTCGTAACATTTACAGAGGTGACCTAATTTGAACAACTAGGTGTGAGGTATGAGAATATGTGACTTCATATATTTACTAAGGCCCCATTTGATTTACATTGAGAATCAATTTATGACACTGCAAAATTCAAATATAAAATTTGTCACTAAATCATGTTCGACTGTTCAAAATCAGTCAGTAGAGATTCTGATTATCCAGTTTCAGAATAAGAAGTGTCTATATGTCAATATATTACCTTTCAGATCGTTACTTACTATTTCTTATTAATGACTTTTCAGGGGTGAAAATGGTGAACTGAATTTGGGAATCAGAAGTTGTTCGACCTAGAAATGATCTTCCTGAATCAGTTATTGGTAGCCATAACTACTACCCCAATGTCCTTTCTTCTGTGGCACATGCAATATCCACCCAAAGCAAATTTCATGTTTTCTACCGTCCAAGGTACTAATACTGACTGATCATATCTTCTTTCTTTGTAAGATGTATGAAGTTCTCACTGAAATTATCTGTACTTAGACTTTGATTATGAAACTCTCTAGTAATGTGGATGGAAGGGACATTTTGATTTAGACATAAATGACCCATATCCCTTTTGGAAACTCTCTAGTATTCTGGAGTTTACTTAACTAGCCCTTCCTGCCATTTCATTGAAAATCAGATCTTGTAGCTTTGCTTCTTATTGATTTAAGACAACAGTTCAGTCTTGCTTCTAAATACGTGCTTCTCTAACTTTTATTGTTTCTGTTATTATTTAAAAATAATTGGTCCACGTGCCATATGCCCCGTGGTTTTACCTTTGCCCCTTCAACATAATTCTGTCAATGGTCAGAAATCTAATTGTGCACTAGATAGTTTTCTTTGATTGATTTATGCATGCCTATTACATTTTGTAATTATAAACAATTCATAGCGTGTTTTGTTTAGATTCTAACTAACATGAATGACTAAAAGTTAGATTCCCAATGTACTTTTCACACTTTTTGTAGCATTTATAGTTTATAATTTCTTTTGCTCAACTCCCATTGAGGGGGAAGAACATCTAATAGAAGCAAGCCATTAATCTGTTTGTTAATTTGAGTACATTGATTCGTAGAAGAGAATCTGTCTTCTCGGTAAGATTAGAACATTCATGATAATTGAGATTCTTACTTTGAATGGGAAATAGTTGGCAGAATGTCTGAGAAGTATGAAATGCTAAAACTATTGTGCGATGTAGGTAACTTGAGGTAATTTGTAGAGTCACTAAATTTTTTATGATCCCCAGTGAAATACAGCTCGAAAGCCCAATCTGTCTTCTTGGCCGAAGAAAAGAAAGTATGAAAAGGGTTCTTCTACTGCAAAAGTAGCTTCTTGTGAAACTGACATTGAGGGATCTCATGCTAATGGATTTTGTGACTTGAATTGGTTTTCCTCTGGCATTGATATGAAGGAATAGGATATTTTCCAAAAGGTATGTATCTAAAAAGTTCATTATCTTTGTGTGAATTTGATGTAGCTTCCGTTTTCCCTTTGATTTTCAGTGTCCCATTTGGTTATTTTTCTATTTGTGTGAATTTGATGTAGCTTCTGTTTTCCCTTTGATTTTCAGTATCCCATTTGGTTATTTTTCTATTGGCTAAACATTTGCAGTGTAGGTAACCCCAAAGCCATTTGTATTTAAATTGTTCATTGTGACCTTTTAGCCCTAGACAGAGCTTAACTCTATGTTGATCAGTAGAGCAAGCTTGGGGTGCATCTGAATTTGAGCTAGTGCTGTTAATATTTAAAATATTCACATATAATTCTAAGTTTTTTTATTTCAAGCAGTTATGCAATAAATCCATGCTACAAGTGGCTTAAATTATGATTGGTGAAAGTAGCGAGATATATAAACATTATGCCGAGTTAGGTCAGGTATGTACTTTAACATTAGTTTGACTTATGGTATACATTAGTTTAAACTTATGTAAAACTCATTTCTTTTTTTCTTAGTTTTCTCTCCTACCAGTCCCTTTAGAGAAACTTGTCCTAACATGCCCCGTATTACACAAAATAAATGTTTATCTCTTTACTATTACACAAAGAAGTGGCTAAGAACAATCTTGTATTCTATTACTGGCTCAGTGAGAGGAAAAAAATATAAAAATCAGCCATAATAAACATGATAATTGAGGTTATACCTAGTGTTATCTATTGTGGACTGCTACTTTTTCATTGACTATGAATGGTTTCTTGAGGTGGCTGCTCTTCAGTGGTGTGTAGAATGGTCTCTCATTGAAACTTATATTGTACCCTACCGTTCACGATCCAAGCAATACAAAGTTTCTTTGTAAACATGTAAAATGTCCCTCAATTTTCTAGCACTTTACAAGAGGTTATGCAAAAATAACGTGGTTGTGTTCTGTTTCTGCATTCATTTACTTTAATGATGTGATGATGATGTTTATTAGCTTTTCTTTGCTTTTGACTATTTTAGGGTTGCTTGCTCCTCTTGAGAGTCTGTAAAATTCTTTACTTATTATCGGTGCATAGTTTGCAATATATTTATCTTAATATTTTTATTTGGTATGGTCTGTATGTTTGTACTACACTTGCAAATGAGAATCTGTTGTTTTTCAAAAACAATTATGTAAATTATAATGTATTTGCAGTTATGGGATCTGACTGCCAAGAAACTCTTGCATAAATGTCACGAGGACCAGATTCAATGTAAAGATTTTGATCCCAATGAGTTTCTACTAGCTACAAACAGTGGGTTGTAATAGAAGGAGGTACAAACCTATCCGAAAGTTCCATAAATGGATCTATGATAACAATTGGGAGAGAAAGATATACGATTGGGGAAGCTTTATTCCAGCCATGTCTATTGGGTGTGGAGGCTCATGTCATTGTTGATCATTCAACTGTTTCATTTGATAATCAACAGTAGTTAGAAAATACTGTGTGTTTGTGGTGGCACTTCGTCTATGAAAGGTAAATTGTTATACTTTTTCTTGTTTTTCCCATCTAAAAATATAATGTTTTTATATGTGGTTTGTCCATCAATATTTATTAAACAGCATGTGGGATCATCATTATTTTTATTTGAACATCTTTTATTATTTTCCATTAATTTGATTTTTTTTTTATTGTTGATTGATTGAGCACTATTTGATTTCTTATTTGCTATTGAACTTGATTTTTTGGTTATTGTTGATTGAACTTGATTTTTTGGCTATTGTTGATTGAACTTTTCTTAAATCATAGTTTAAGATGCTATTATTACCCGTGTGAAATTATTAGTAACTTCAATTTATTCTTTAATAAATAAGTTACAATTTATTAGTTATTAAGTTATTATGTTAATTATTTGCAACATGACAATGTATTATATGTTAAGTTACAAGTTATATTAATGTTTAATTTTCCCACAAATCTCTCTCACACGTACTAAGTGGTGTCTTTCTTTTTTAAATTAGTTTGTGTTGTTTCTGTAGGGTTCATGCGAGATTTCTTCAGTTCAATGCTCGGAAAAAAGTTGACAAACAACACATGTGGAATATTATGAGCAAATAATATGTTGCATCAAGTGAAATGTATTCGTTGTTCTGATGATATTGGAATCATTTAAAATATATATTTAGACATTTTTTTCATTTTTAATATTAATATGCAGTAGAAGATATAATTTTTGGAGGAGTTTATGATAACAAAATAATAGAGACAATTTTAAAATATTAAATCAATCCAACAATAAAATGATATAAAATTTGAACATAATCACCTTGTAGTGGATAAAGTAAAGTTAGAGATTTTATGTTTGTTAAACAAACATATTTCTTGCATAACTAATTTTTCTCAGTTTATTTGGTGTAATGCCATTTGAAACTTTTTATAATAGAAGAATATTTAATATCTTTCATCTTTTTCTTCTTTTTTTTTTTTTCATTTCTTTATCTCCTTATTCTTTTCTTTTTTTTACTTTTATTCTTCATCTTCACTCCTTTTTTTTCTTTCTTTTATATTTATTGTATTTTTTATTTATTCTTTCGTTTTCTATTCTTTTTTTCTTTTCTTTTTCCCTTTTTAATTCTCTTCGTCTAATTTTTTTTCTTTTCTTTTCTAATTTTTTTATTATCTTTTCTTTTTCCTCTTATTCTTTTTTCTCGTTTTTCATATATTCGTACATACATTATATAATATATTTACAAATATTTTTTTTCTTCTTTCCTTTCATCTTCTTTTTCCTTTTCTACATTTTTATCCTTCTCATCTTCTCTCATCTTTCTCTTCTTTTTTGTAATTTTCTTTCTCTTCATAATTTTATTCCTCTATCTCTTCTTTTACCATAACTTATTTTTCTTTCTCATATTCTTCTTATCTCTTATTAATTCTTTTTATGTTCTCCTCTTTTTTTCTCCTTTAGTTTCTTCTTTTTCCATTTTTTCCCACTTTATTCTTTTCTTCATCTTTTCTTTACCTTTCTTCATCTTCTATTTTTCTTTCTTCCTCGTTTTCATTTTCTCCCACTTTTTTCTTCTTTTTCTTGCCCTCCTCTTTTTCTTTCTTCTTTTTTTCATCTTCTCTCCCACCTTCCCGTTGCTTAAAAAAAAGAGTGACAGATAATACACGAGGAATACCACGATCAATTGATATGTTCAATGATTAAAGTGATATTATCATGTTTATTAGTTCATTGTCAATTATTGCACATGAAAAATGTGTATGTGTTAGTGGAAAATCGAGAAAAGTGATCGAAAAACGAAGGAAAGAAAAATCGAGAAACATGTGATTCATTGATAAATCGAAAAGATGGATGAGAAACCATTCGATATTCAATTAGAAGTGCGTGACATATAAAATCGAGAGGTAGAATCAAGAATCGAAGGAATAATAGTTAAATGTCTATTGTCGAATAAAACCAAGAAATTAGAAGTATATGACGTTAAGGTTAAAAGGAATCGAAAGTAATTCAAAGTTCTCGAGATCTTAAAATCGAAATTGAAGGGAAGATTAACTTACGTGGATATCGAAACCTTGGCCAAATCATAAAGAGAAGAATAGTTAAACACGCAGATAGGAAACAGTTTTTTAACCGTGGCAGAGGTCGAAGATCATGGGAACGTGGGTGCGGTTTTAACACCACAGGAAAAGAAACCGAAACATGCACGAAGAACGTGGTAGCAGTTTCGTTAACTCGCTCCTAAGAGACTACTTGAAAGAGGATCTATAAATAGAGCAAAAGATGAAAAGAAAGGGGGGGTGGAAAAATTGGCGAGAGAACAACAATACTAGTGAGAAGTCTATCGGAGAACGACGAACATCATGAAGTTTCTGGCGATCTGGATTTCCATGCTCATTGAGTACCTTTACCACTTTCTTTATTTTCCCTGGTAATCTAATTTGATGCAATTTATCTTTAGCAACTTTAAGTTTCTGTACTCTTAATTCCTTGTCATTTCCTTTAATGAAAGTTAAGTTTCCGCATTTAAGCTTCTTGCTATTTACATTTCTGTAATCTCGATTTCTTGCTATTTACATTTTCTGCCTATTTCGATTTCCTGCCAGTTATATTTTCTGCAATCTCAATTTTCTGTCATTTACATTCTCGCTACTCCAATTTCTTGCCATTTAATGCAAATTTAAGGTTTCTGCATTTTTACCTCTTGGCAACTCAATTTTCTATTTTGCTTTTCGATTCGACGTTTCTACTGCTTTGTTTACTTTGAACACTCTAAACATAAAATACCAAAAACAGCATTTTCGATACTATGTAAACTTCGATTCTCATATGCATTTTGAAGCACTTGGTGGACTTGGTGGATTTGATGAAGACTTAGATATAATTTGATGAAGACATAAATTTAGTTTAGGTTGTGGGTGTGTAGATGATTAGGTTTTTAACTTGAGCACTTAATAACTTGAGCACTTAATCCCTTGATAGGCCATTATATGTTGTGATGAAGCGCCTTAATCTTCTGCATAGCATTGAAAATCATTTTCTCGCATTAAAAGAACAAACTAAGTTTTTCAATCTGTTGAAAAAGATTTTCAATCGGTTAAAATCACTTAACAGAATAAGTGGTTCTATATAATCGTATTTTCAATTGATTGATTCGCAGAATCAACAAGTTAAAATAACTTAGTAAATTTCTCAATATGAAGGTTTCGGAAAAACAATCAATTGAAATAATTTTTAATCTGTTGAAAAAGAAAGATATTTTTCAATCTAAGAGTTTTCGGAAAAACAATCAGTTGAAACGTTTTTCAATCTGTTAAAATAAAGATATTTTTTAAGTCTAAATGTTTTCGGAAAAACAATATGTTGAAATGGTTTTCAACCTGTTGAAACGAAAGTCATTTTCGAGTCTTAAAAGTCTGCAGGATTTCAATCGGTTGAAATGTTTTTTAATCGGTTGAAACAGAGAGCTATTATTTTTCATAAAGTCTGTTTCAATCCATTGAAAACTCGAAACA